TTGATACATCCTTTTTTTTAAACCCTCATTTAGGTTTTAATGAAAATTTTTTCAAAAATTCTCAAAAAATACCCCGCTATTTAAAATACTCCTTATAGGCTTTTACTTAAGCCTATTAGCCCAACACCTTGGGCTCAATAACTCGAGTAATAGATGGATTGTACAAATAAATTGGGCTGAGTATTTTAGGAAGGCCAATTTGGAAACTATTTTCTAAATTACCCTTATTGAATTTCAAGAAACATTTTTTTCAAAATTCTCTTAGTGCTTAAAGAATTAAAATCAATTATTTCATTTCCTATTTTTCTTCACAATTCTTTACTTCTCCTTTTTTGGATTAATATCGAGCTTATACATGTGACTCAATAGATTTCTAATATGTTCATAATATATCGAGAAACAAAAGACTATTCTTTTATCGCTTGATGCATAAATCAAGATTGATCTCTAGTAAGGCATCATAATTACCTAGTCATCAAGAAGGATTACTTAATCTCAAAATGGTTTTCATACAATTCAATCATCATATCAATTTATCACAATGTGATATCAAACTTGGTTTGGTGTCCGTTCCATTATGATCACACAAGTTTTCTTTGATCTTCGAATGTCATAGCTTTCAAGTAAACCAATCATGGTTTATTACGGTTTCGACTTAAGGAAGAATTTCTACCACTAGCCGAATTCTACTAGGTCTTTTAGGTGTAGTATAAAAATGTTTCTTATGCATCTTTGTAAGGAATTTTGGTTGAAATATTTATTAGACTAACTAACTTTAAACCAATAAATTCTAGATAGTTATTCTTTCAAATATTCAATATTTTCTTAGGCTTGAGCTGGACTAGGATTACTTAGAGCATATCCTTAGAGTGATCGTCTAAAGTGGATTATGGATTGTTGTGTGCAAGAGTTTGGAGTTGAGGTTTTAATAATTTTATCATGTTTATCCCCGTAAGTACCTCTTAATCTACCTTTATTTAGGAACTTGTAATGGTTTTAGGGTTAGATAATTGGGCTTACATAATTTTATGAATGGTAGATTAACTTGTATAAACTAACTAAATTTACTCCTAAAATTTGCTCTCAAATTCAAATTATGTTAGAGGGCCTAGGGATATTTGATATGGCTAAAAAGTTTTTAGGGACCTTCTACTAGACTTTAGTAGCTGTATATAAAATTTAGAGATATTTAGAGATATTTATAGCTTCCTTAATGAGTGAACGACATTAAACACCTTGTTGAAATTTCGGATAGTGTAGATACATATTCGGGTTAGATTTTGACTGACCTAAATAAGGTCTTGGGGGAATTTTTTTTGTCTAAATTTTTTTATGCTTATACTAATTTATGTTAGGTAGGGTATGGTACATTTTTAGTTTGTTTGGATAAATATAACATAGGGTCCACCCCTAATCTATTCGGATTATTTGGGTATCTTATTTGATAAATTTGTTTTTGCTTTGGGATTTATTTGAGGATTTGATTATTGTTGATTTTACGGTAGAATTGCTTTGTTATTTGGAGAAGAATAGCCTTGAGGGGGTTTTATCGTATAATTGTTGGTTGAGCTTCTACGGTATTTGAGGCATCGTGCTATTTCGACATCACGACTTATCTTTGAGGCCGAATGCTTTTCATAATATGGGCCAAATTATTTAGTCTTGCTTATATTCTTTCCTTATGTTTTATTTACTTACTTTGTTTTATTTGATTTAGGTATTTTATTTTCATAAGAATGTTATTTAGAGTCTATATTTGTTTAAAATTTTAGCTAGATTAATTAGTCCTTATTGAAATTGAATTGATTTTATTATCCTTATTTTTTTCGAACTTAGGTGGCCAAATCTCCTACGATTCTTTTCCTATTAAATGATTTTTATGATTAGTATTTAAGCATCCTTGTGTAATACGGATAAATAAATTTTGATGAATTATTGAATAAAATTTGTGAGACTTTCTTTAAATTTCTATATCCTTATGCTTGGTTTAGTGTTCGTATTTTGTATTTTTGACTTGATCAATCAAGATGATGCTATCGAACAATATTAGCTTAGGTTATAATAGAGTTCTAAATCTTGCCAAAGCTAGGGTTTCCATTACTTGGAAAGTTTCACCCTTATCAAACTTAGGGCTGGAATTTTTAGACTTCATTTATTCTTATGTGAAGATTTTGGCTAGCCTTAAATTAAGGTTCGTAGAATTTGACTTCATCTAATTTTTGATGTTGAGTTTTATCCCTATCAACTTTGGAGGAATAACATTTGCCATAACATAAACAAGGGTTTAGAGTTTCGACTTTGTCTAAATTATCAAAAAATTGGTGTCAATACTCATAAAAACTTCTTATCACTCTATGCAACAAGACCTTTGAAGGAATGGTTACGTGGAAAAAATGTTGTTATAGATACACCTGAACAAGTATAAGTTCTTTGTATGCGGATGTTAGGTAAAATTCTCTTAATGATCATGTTAGTAATTTGACTACTCGGTGAAGGTTTCGCACAATTTTTAGTTCAATACGAGTTGGAAACTCGTGCTACTGCTGTGGTCGGACAATCGTGTATGTAAGGTCAACGATCCGTATGATGTAGTGTGAGTAAAAATCTTATTTTTCATAATTAATGTAAATTGATTTTAGAACATAAAAAAGAATAAATAACAAATAACTGGAGTTAGGTGTGTAAATTCATAATTAATTTATAAAAAAATTAATGATATATATTTCAATTATTTTATTTAAAAATATTAATTTTAGAATATAAAAAAGAATAAATTACAAATAATTAGTGTTATGTATGCGGATACATAATTAATTTGTAACAAAACTATATATATGTGTGTGTGTGTATTTTCATATTTTTACTTATTGTTTTATTCTTCCTCTATTTATTAAAACAAAAAATAGAACCATTGATATATCAAAAAGAAAAAAACAATTATTTTTTGAATCAAAGGAACTAATGGTGTTATGTATGCGGATACATAATTAATTTTCAATAAAACCATATATATACTTAGTAGATTCAAAATATATAGTATAAATATATTTTTTTTAATAAAAATTCATCTAAGTTGTATGGAATATATTAAAATCAAAAATATAAAATAAAAACTGCTACAAAATTGGTTCCTATAAATCTTCTTAATTTATGATGAAAGAGATTCTTAAATTGTAAATTAAATCATAAATTTGTTCATCTCGTTTTGAAAAATAAATGAATTAATTTTTTATTAGTGTTGACCATGAATAATTTATTTTTTTTTATTTTTAAAAAGTCTTTTTTTATGTGTTTGTTTATATTTTTTTTAGTCTTTCTCTATTTTTTTTTAAAAAATAAAAGCATTAGCAAAATGAATAAAAAAATAGTTTTTGAACCGAAAGGACTAATGGTGTTATGTATGTAGATACATAATTAATTTTCAACAAAACTAAAAAAATAAATCATATTTATCAACAAATAAAAGTTCATAAAAAATTTAATTTGATGAAAATTTTTTATAATAAATGAAAAATTTAAGAGATTAATTTTAATCAATAAAAAAATATAATTCGATATATATGTTTGTTCTAAAATTTAAAAACATGAAAGACCAAAAATATGTTTTTAAAAATATGAGGAACAAAAAGTATATTTTGAAAAAAAAAAGTGAGTTAAAAATAGAATAAATTAAAAATATGAGTTTCAAAATATTTTTAAGAATATGAGGATTTAAAAATATATTTTAAAAACATAAAGGATAAAAAAAAACTATAAGAAAATCATGAAAATATCATTACAGAAATAAAAAAAATTACGAAAAGCCAAAAAAGGGTCTTCGCTGCTGAAGGTGGAAGGAAAAAAAAAAAAGAAAAGAAAAAGAGGGCCTTGGCTTAAAAAAAAAAAAAAAACTTTTCAAATGGACAGTAAAACGAATTGAGTAAAAACAAAAGAGGATGGGCATTGGCTTCAAAAAAAATAAATTATTTTACTGTTTAAATGAACAATAAAACAGAACATAATTTGAAAAATTTATTATTTCAAATGATAAATAAATTTTAACAGTGAACATCCAACATATTTTAATTTTCAGTAGGAAGTAGAATTTCTAATCTGTGAAGAGTCCCTGCTCTTAGTTTTGGGCTCGTGGCTCTACAAGGTTAACAACTTTAACGAAACGATCGATTTGTCTTGATTGTGAATTAAATATGTTGTTTTGGTTCAATTGTGGTGATTGGATTGAAGGGAATAGGGATGATCGCCTTCGGCCCTCTTTAAACTCTATTGTTGTTTGACTGTTGTGTTGTGTCATAACATTAAATATATTAACTGTTTGATAATGAAATGTGTATCGTATTGCGTGTCAAATCACTCCATTGTTTGTAATTTATTATTGGACTGTTGAGCTAAACTTACTACCAATTACATAATTTTAAGATTTTTATAGTAGTTTTATTGTTAAAATCAAAAGTCATGAGTTTTTTTTTAAAAAGAATCAAAATGTTATATTTTTTTAAACACTAATATAAAAACTATATATTAAGGTAAAATACGCAACATTTATCTTCTTTTTTTTCATTTCAGATTTTTTAATGTTATTTTTTTCTTTCAAATAAAATAAATAGCCTTGCATCTCAAGAGACATCACTTTTATACTTTTTAAAATGAAAATCAATATACCTTTAAATTTGTTTTCATGAAAATTTGGTTTAACATAAAAGATTGTCAAAATTAAATTATGCTAGCTTCAAGTCGTGCAAAGCAAAGAAAAAAAAAGTTTGAGGACTTAAAAGTGTGCTCATTATAGATGCCGATAGAATGGATAGAGGGAAAAAAAAGAAAAAAACATACAAACTGAATATTTACATGGACAATAGGTAATTATGAAGGTAAACTATTCAGTACTGTTTCTCTCCTATATCAGTGATCCAAAAGTCGGGTTGGTAGTTGGGATTGTTGGAAGCGCTTTAGTTGAAGGCGCTCAGCTTCTTGGAAAAACTGTAGGTAAAATTTGACATGCTCTATGGAGGAGTCACGCTCTCAAATTGATTGCACCCTCTAATGTTGACCTGTACTACGCCGTTCTCTCCGTCTTCTCCATTGATAATGTCGCAGCACTGTCTACGTGGTGCCTGGTGGGTCAGTTATATTTCGAAATGTGTTAGACACTAATGATTTTAGAAATTAAAAAAAAACATCAAACAAACAATGTTTTCTATGCAACAATACAAAAATATTCAACCCCACCTTTTCATATTTTCCAGCACCAATTGCGCATAAATTGTAGTGACATACACTTGGCAGATAAAAATAAACAAAATGGACTTGCTTTATGTCTAACATGTATTCCTTGGTGGGTGTCCACGTTTTAACTCAACCTTTTTGAAAGGGCAAAACTAATTAAATAAAACAGCCACCGTTACATGAATGAGTAATTCAGTCAATGCCTTTCTTTCATTCTCATTATACCAGTGACCAACCCCTATTCAACATAGCATGCTATTGTCAAAATTTACCATTCTTTCTTAATTTCTGGCATAAACATATGCCATTTCAATGCCACTTGGCATATAGATGGAGGTTTACCGAATTAAGGGTAACACTTTCCCCTGCCTACTACCTTAAATTAAGGGTATCGAACTTGAATGTTTTGATCTAACAGGCCCACCAAATCTTATATGGACAAACAAACTGAAAGCCATTTGATTTGGATTTTTTCAGTTTTAAACTATTTCAAAGAATGCTGGAAGAGAAAATGTAGCTCACCATATTCCAAATGTCAGGTTTCAATGATGTAGAAGTTGTGACATTGACTAACTGGACGGCATAAACGGGAGCATACTCAGGTAGGTCGCAAACTTTATCTAACTCTTCCACGGACCTTTTATACGTGGTCAATGTTCCCTCCCCAACTCTTTCAACCCGATCCAAGAAATAAACAACCGGTCTTAGACACGGGTGTTGAATCATGGGTCGGGTATTAAAAGTGAAGGGTCCATTTTTCCAGGTCCTCCACGTTTGAAACGTTCTAAACGCTGTTTCCAGCTTCTTTGCCGTCACCAAATCAGGGTATATCTGTATGGTGTAACCCCAAGAAGCTGAAACAGACCAGTTACGCGCAAAATCGTAGCAGAAACTATGTTGCAAAGTCCGACCCGGATCCATTGTATATGCAGTGATTAACTTCTTGACTGAGTCGATACGGCTCAGCCTTGGAAATATCGACTGAACGTAGTCTAGATGGTGGAAGGACACCAATGGTGCCAATGGGTGCGCTGCCAGTAAACCATATGGATCTCCTCTTATATCAATCTGTAATTAACAATCATCATCCATTTTAATTTCTTAATTTTTTTCTCCTTTTTAGAGTTGCTAATAATAAAATAAAATAAAATAATTCGGCAACAGAACAGACAATAAGAACGGAGAAAGAAACGAAGGAAAGATTGAGCTGTAACAAATTAATCAAAATGTACAGCTAACAGGGGATTATATTGTTTTAGAGAGAGAGAGAAAAAAAGAAAAGAAACTAATTAATTAAGTACCTGATGGAATCCGAGCTCTTTAGTAAGAGGAACTCCGATCTCACTTAAGCAACCCTGAACTTTCTGATCGGAACCGTAAAAGGATGCATATCGATCAATACAGCCGTCCAAAACCCTAACGAGCTCTTTTGCCAGAGGATAACTTATAGCAAACCCACCACCACCGTATGCCATAGTATATGAGTGTATCACGTCTTGCTCAACACTCTCGGAATTACCGCCAATGTAATACATCTGATTATGATCATATTTTGCTAATACCATTACCAAATTCTCTATAAAAAATACTGTATCATCATCTCCCATCACGAACCATCTCACATTTTCCAGTCCCAATTCAAAGCTCTCCTTCACTATCCGCGCAATTCGTAGCGCCGAGCGAGAGCCATACGAGCAGGTGTACTTGAACCGTGTCGTTTCAGCAGAGACTTTGTATGATGGTGAGGTTTCTGGCCACGTTTCGTTCTCCGGAGGCTTCTGGTCCAGCCAAACATGGCCTCGGGTGATGTTAGGCCTCCACCATAGCTCAGAGTAGTGCCTGCGTTTATTCCACGTCTTTGCAGAACCACCAATTCCAAATAAAATGTGAGAAATATTTGTCTTCTCATAGCTATCACTAGAAACGTTACCGTTTGTTATCTTCCGGTGATCAGAGATTAAAATCTTATTGCATTCTGGGCAAGTTCGCAATTGAGATTGATTAAGGAAGGAGTAGAAGACGAGGGAGATCGAAACGACTGTGCAAATAGCTACAGTTGCTTTTAGAAATAAAGAAAATACATCACTAACTTTTAGTGTCGGAAAAACCAAGAATTTCCAAGCTTTGAAAGGGTCTTGAATAGTTTGTGTTGGAGACGACATGTTTCTCCCTGAAAGATAAGAGTTTCAGGGAGATCGGTTTATTGATAAAGAAGGAAATGGAAGGAAGAATTCTATGTGAAGTAGATGACGCACTTTAGATTTTGTCGCTTGAAGGTTTCCTTTTTAAAGGGGATATTTTGAAGCAAAAATGTATGAATTGGTGCGATCATGATAATAACAAAGAGGAGATAATAACAGCAAGAATCTTTCAAAGCTTTTTTTTCTATTTCTTTTTAATTTTTTAAACGAATGCAGGCACAACTGCATTTGCGAGGGTTAATTCGTCATTCCAAATAATTAGGTAGAGCTAGAATAGATGTACAAGGGAGGCCTTGGACATGGAGGCCTCTGTACCTTTTTCTTTACTTTCCGTGTGGAAATCATTACTCCTGTATACCATTCAGTCTAATCCTGCTGGTGCATTTTAATCTTAAAATAGAATACTAATAAAGTGGAGTTAAGTAATTTAAGTTGTGATAATTAAGTTAGCTAAAAACAAATGCTTAATGTTCCAGGTTGTGTTGCTAAAATTAATTAAATTGAACTTCAATGACAACCATAATTTGATGTTAATCCAAGTAACTTCAACCATTAATACATCTATATTATAAAGCTTACCAAAAAAAAAAAAAAAAAACTTGTTACATATACGTTTTGTCAAATCACATTAACTTCGATTCAAAAAAAAAAAAAATCACATTAATTTGTTCAAGTTTTGCCAAACCTAGCTATAGATAATCCCTTAATTTAGCATATTTTTAGAAAACATTTTTTTTAACAATATAGAAAAAAATAGTTCAATCTATCCTTAACAATGCTTTCCAATATATTTTGAAAGTATAACAATCTCTTTATAAAACAATTAATATATTTACAATTAATTTTTTAATGTTCCATAAGTCTTCTTTTTAAAATAGAAAAATGCTTAATGACACCATGATGACATACACTATTTTCAAAAATAGAAAAGGTTTAAGAGTAAATTTGAAAAGTGAAAATTTTAAATGACATAATACTTATTGAAATAAAATACCATTCTTTGTATCCCTTCAAAAAAATACTACCCTTATAAAATTATGATAACGTTTTTTTTTTTTTACACCACCAATGTCATATTATAGTACTCTTTAAAATATATCATAATAAATAAAGAAATAAGAATAAATTCCATATGCTCCTAGTACCTGGGAAACCGTGAGCTCAGCACCAGATCAATTTGTGCATATAAATGTGGGAGCATTCGGTGCTTATCTTTACACTTCGTGCCAATTAGCGAAGGTTGGTGGCCTATGATGCATTACGAAGTCCTTGGACTATAGGTGATGCTCCAATTGGGTCCTTAAAGAAAAAGAATCACACCTTAGTGGTTTGAAATCTACATTATAGCATCTATTTAGCATTCAATGTGCATGTCAACCGATCGGGGAGGACTTGATTATTTTTTTTATTGTATCACATGACCTTTTTCGGTAAAATACATTCTAATTCCTTAACTGCGTAAATATTAAAATAAATATTGAGCTTCTCTTAGACTATTGCCGTGATGTGTGGAAGACTTTTGACCAAAAATAAGGGAATAACCTCCAATTTGTTCTCAATTATATACACGATTATTCTCAATTGTGTTTACAAACAAAATAATATTTTCAATAGAGTCTAACATATCAAAATTTATCTATTTAGTGCCCTCTAATATTATTTTAAACTTTTAATTGATGAAGCATGGTTGTACAAATACTACGAAGCACTCTCTTTAGTTATATCATACTACCAATAAAATCCCACTCTTATATATTCGGATAGGAAAAAATCTAGATTATAGAATTTTAGTTTTTTGTATTTGTTAGAATACTGTGAACTTGGAACAAATCGAAGGATAAATTTGTTTTTGAGACAATATTTCTCAAATTTACTTTTCCTTAAGAGTCAGTTCCTCTGTCTTTTTAAAATATATATTTATAAAGTGAACCATCTCATTTAATCGATCAATTATAAAATTTAATAACTCTATAACTGAATCATTGCCAAAAGCGTGATCGAGATAAAAATAGTTATTGCTTGGTAATCATTATTCATCAATAATGTCATAACCCATTTTAAAACCCCTAAATAATTATTTTAAAATTTTCTTTGATTTATTGTGTGATATTTTTGATCAAAAACCTCTTAAATAATTATGTATGTATGCATGTATGAGAGGAGAAACATTTTTATTAATGCATAAATATTTAATTAAAGAGTGATTAGTTAAAAGTAAACATGTGAATTAATATTTTAAGTGCATAAAAATATTATTTCTATGAATTAATATTTTAAGTGCATAAAAATATTATTTCTATGCACATAAATATTAGGAGATGTAGATAAAATAATTTAAATAGAATGGAGTAAGTATGAAAGATTAGTTTTTGGAAGAATAAAATTTTGAATGCTGAATTAGACTATTTTTAAGGAGGTAATTGTAAAGGTTAAAAGTTTGACCAATTAATTTAATTAATTGTGAGAGTCAAGAGACCAATATTAATTTAGAAATTATCTTTAAAAAAAGGGCTGGATTGTTACAATTAAAACTAGGGAGCCGAAATTGTAGTGATGTGATTGAAGTGAATTATAAAAATTAGGGACCAAAGTGTAACTTTTTGACACACATGAAAAACCATTTTATTCGGCTCTACCAAGCTGAAATTGAATCAGAATTACAGCAATGAAACTGGAATTAGGGGCTGGTTTGGATTGGCCAAGGGGAGAAGAAAAAGAAGAAAGGGAAAGACTAAGGAAATTGCAAGAAAATTAACATTATTAAGGAAATTAATATGGCTAAGTAAAATAACTAGGTTAAGAAAATGACATGGTTAAGCAAAGCATGAGATTAAACCAAGTGTCATTCAAATGGCTAAATCTCATGCCACTTCTTTCCCCATATTCGGCCTACCAAGAGAGAAGAGAGATTTGATGAACAAATGATAAGCTTAGGGAAACCAAATAGAATTTAGGAGAATTAGGAAAAATTAAACCTACCCAACCTAAAAATCCACCCTAACCATCATCTAACCACCCTATAATCAATGGTAAAGGCCTTAGGAAAGCAAGCAAAAGGAGAGAAGGTGATGATCTTGGCCAAAACCAAGAAAGAAAAAGGAAAGAGAGGAAATTGCGAGTTCAAGCTCAATTGATTATCAAGAACAATTAGGTAAGTGTAGTCTCACCTACACTATAAGGAAAATTATGTTTTTGGATGATTGTTTTATGTTTTGATTGAATTAGGGTTTATGCTTTCATGATTATAAATTGATGTGTTTATCTAATTTAAGTTAAATTGATGTGAAATTGATTGAATTGGTGGCTGAAATAGCATGCTTGATGTATGAAATTGGTTGGAATGATTGAAAATGAATGGTTTATTGACGATGATAGTGTTGACCAATATGGAGATTTAAGGAGAAATGATAGTTTTTATAAAATATGTATTCAATCATGTTTAGATGGGGATGCATGATGATTATTCATGTTAAATTGAAAAGAATTGTGTTAAGGTTGATTGATAAAAGAACATACGGCCACACCCTCAAATTTAGAGTTAATAGATTTTCATGGTAGACTCGTTTAATTGATGTTTATAGCATCATTTAGCTAAGTTTAAATGTATTTAAAATGAAAAAAATTTCATGGAACAACAATAGAGAGATATTTAGCGAAACATGCTTAAGTGTCTAAATTATATGAATGTTAGAGTTTAAGGAATGATTAAGGTTCTATGATGGAAATTAACATAAATTGATGTGAAAAATCTTACTTGGTTAGATATTGAATATATTTGGCCAACAAGGAACTTGTGTGATTGATTGTTTCATATTTTAAATATTGATGGATTAATGTTGATTTGAATGCCTATTATTGAATGCATAAATGAAATTGATTGAGAAATGAATGAATATACGAAATGAAATGCATTGGCCATAATCATCCAAGATGAAGTTTTTGTGTGTTAATGCATGCATGTGATCTTGCAATGAATTGATGCATTTTAAGGTGTACTTAGTACATGTTAATGCTTGATTGATTCATTGACACATACACAATGGTTGTCAAGAATGAAGAATGCATGAAATGAAAAAGGATAAAGTAAGACATGCTTGTTACATGCCCTTCATGCCATACTCATGAAAGTTTTCTTTCATAGTTTTTCAAAGAAAAAGAAAAAAGGAAATATGGTTTTAAAAGGAAATGGTCAAGTACCTCTAAATGAATAGAAGAGAAATCATCAACCTTTTGTACGAAAATGAAAATGGTAAAGGAGAGGTACTTGGTGCTTTTATGATGTTTCACAATTGTATGATTTTAAAGGATGGCCTATTATATATATAATTGGGAGGGTACGCTGAAGATGGAAAATGAATTTTAAAAGTATGAAAGGATTTTTAAATTACATCACGTGCATATCATACATCAATTATACTTTCTGGACATAGCGCATTTTTACCCTTGTGGTGTAGGCAAAGAAAACAAAAAATGATGGCACGTTTGGTATGACGGCCATGGCCAAGGTGGAGCTAACTTGTCGGAGAGTGTACTCTAACATTTGTTGTGAGTTAGAGAGTTTTAACTTCTCTTTCATATCTTGCTTCAAAAACCTTAGTATGTATGTTAGGATTTATCCTAATGGTGTATAAATTAATCATGCACTAGAACATTAACTCATAAGTAAATATGGGTGTATATGGTTAGTAGTATTAAATAGTTTATGTGAATTAAATGAGTTAGTAGATATATAGTATGAATAATTAGAAATTAAATCGGTAAAGGAAGGATTAATTAACTAGTCAAGAATGAATTGGATAAAATAAAATGAAAGACTAAATTTAATTAAGGATAATAAATTAAATTGACAAATTTCCCAATTATTTGGAACCAATGTTCTATAAACCCTAAAAGTGTTTTATTCCATAACTAACTAGCTTAATTGGAATAACTGAATTAATTAGAGGCCAAATAAAATGGTT